TCTAAGTTATAGACGAAGATGAATTGATGTTTAAAAAATTGTAAGTTGTTCATAGTTTGCATACATTTTGGCCCTACCTAATGCATGTACAGTGTGTTGGAAACAAAATTATAACCGATACAGAATGCCGGTAAACGTTTTCGCGGGATTACTCATTTTGTTGTTATTCAAACGAGCCTGTACATTATATATGTACACGTTTTCACGGCAGCACTACTATATTACAACTCCTTCAATTTATTGTAGACAATATTAGTTCGACCCTAACTTAAGGTAGGCTCGCGAATTCCTGGCGGGAAGCATGGCAAAACACGATGTATTCTTAGCGAAAGATGGTGTATTCTTAGCAAAACACGGTGAATTCCTAGAGAAACATGGGTAATTCCTAGCGAAACACGGTGGATTCCAAGCGAATCTTAGAGAAAAATCCCTGCAGAATCAAGAGAAATTTCACCGCGAAATCTAAGAGGTTTTTTTTCGCCGCGTTGCCGCGATTTCAGTCGCAAAACTTTGGGAGGAACTGTACATGTACACCAAGTTTAAACATTCTAGCTCAATTAGAAAGAGGCTTATTGGGTCCCAATAAGTGTGACGGACAGACAGACGGACGAACCCATTTTAATACTGTATAAACCTGGTGTGAAAAAAAAAATCCATGCAAGTTACCAAAACTCGAGTGAAAACATGTTTATCAAAATAATGTAATATTAAATTTTAGATGTTAATAAAATTAGGAAAACTATGTAAAACTATATAATTATTTACCAAAGATTTTATCAATAATCAAGTACTGGTATTAATATTATCATTTTGATTAAAATGTAACTCAGTTCAAATGATATGATCTCTTTGATCTGGACAAAAAGGAAAATTGTTAATTGAATTAAATGTGTTGATTTGATTTTTTGCCATAGTTAGAGCTGCAGTTTGTTTAAGTCAAAAAGTTATTCTTTGAAACAGAAATCTAACCTCATTGAAGTTGTAATCATTTTCTCATAGTTAAATGCCCCAAAAAGAGTGTTTGATTAATGAAGTGTCTGTTGAGCATTGGACCTTAAATACATCACTTTGCAATCTCTTCTGCATTTTCAACTATTGCTATAAGCTGACATGTATTGTAAATCTCTATCTACTGGCAGTCTCCATAAAATCTTTAAGGCAATAAACTAATACCAACATCATGACTGAACAGAATAAGGTACAACATACCCATCAAATTTGAGTCAAATATCTTGAAGCACGTGTGGTAGTATTAAAAGGAGCCGGAGAAGGGTCACAATTCTTCTAAATTAGGAAAACATGACAAACTGCGACCACATGTATGTGTCAAATGGCAAGGCTAAGATCTTGAAGAATTACAGAAGATAGTTTGAAAATGGGTAGAAATTCCTCTAAAAATGTATCAATCAGACAAAACAAACTTGGGCTGTATCCTAGCAATGCTACATTTAAGGATCAAATTTCAGATTATGATTACTGAATTAAAAAATGGTTCAAATGAACCAAGTTAACTAGGTAAACAAATAGATATACGGCCTTAGATGGTTTAAATTTTCATTAAAGAATTGTACATTTCTATGGAAAGTTTCACGAACTTTTTGCGCGAGTAAAACTAAATCTAGCAATGCTGGTTTATTTCCCTAATTCCAACCGATGCATGCCACGTGTTATGGGGAATAAGAAAGCATTTGAGATCCTGACGGAAAATTATATTAATGTCTGTTTCTCTGGATCTAGGTGTGTGCAGGAGAACGAGAGCGATTGTGCTCCTTTCACGTGAAGGCCTGATCATTTGGTCTTACGTCTATAACTTCCACATCATGGCAAGTAGATGTAATCCATTATTCATTGGCCGCTATCAAATCCAAATTTTAAATTATATATGATGAGCTTTTACACAGTACTTCATTACTCGCAGATTCAGATAATCTAAATTAACAATCCAAAAAACACAGTACCATACATTATAAATCACCACGTGCCAAAACATTGAATTGTTGGTGTCAACACGGACTATATTCTTACGCTGTGATACTTTGCAAAATGTATTGAATAAATCTTGACCATTACCCCAGTGCATGATAACAAGCCAACAGTAAGGCTGATGTCCCCCGCCGAAATCCCAAAATAAATAGATGACACACATTAAAATTAATTAATTGCACATTTATTTTTTTTTCAAAAGTATCAAGCAATCAAACTATACACTCAGTTTCATCACTTTCATCACCATCGAAATTAGTCAAGGTAATGATATAATGAATCTATATTCGGAGTTCCATCGCTCTCACTTCATTATAACCAAAGTTATCGTGCTTCAAAGCAACAACCAATCAGATTGCTTATTTCTGCTTATCTCAAGGAGACAATGTTCATCATAGAACTCCATCAGGCATTCACCTAATGAACGCCTACACCAAGTTTAAACATTCTACCTCAATTAGAAGGAGAGTTATTGTGGTCCAAAGTCTCGACCAATCAGATTGCTTATTGCTCTGCTTACCCTCAGCAGAAAATATTCATTATCGAACTTAGTCAAGGTATTGATGTAATAAAGCTATACACCAAGTGTCCTCACTCTCACTTAATTAGAAATAAAGTTATTGTGTCAACCAATCAAATTGGTTACTCTGCTTACCCCAAGCCGAAAATTCTCATCTGCGAACTCCATCAAGGCATTCACCTAATAGACACATATGCCAAGTTTGAAGATTCTAGCTCAATTAGAAGGAGAGTTATTGTATTCCAAGGTCTCGACCAATCAAATTGCTTATGGCTCTGCTTACCCTGAGCAGAAAATGCTCATTATCGAACTTAGTCAAGGTATTGATGTAATGAAACTAAACACCAAGTTTCATCACTCTCACTTAATTAGAACTAAAGTTATCGTGTCCCAAAGCATCAACCAATCAAATTGCTTATCTCTGCTTACCTAAGCAGAAAATGCTCATCTTCGAACTCCATCAAGGCATTGACATAATAAACATCTACACCAAGTTTGAAAATTCTAGCTATTTGGAAGGAAAGTTATCATGTCCCAAAAAGTGTGACGGACGGACGGACGGACGGACGAACCCATTTTAATAGTCCCCTGCTTTCTTCAAAAGGCAAGGGAAAAAAGGGCCATAACTCTAGACGTAATAAACGGAAATCGTTGAAAATCTATAGGATTCTTCTTTTTACTAATTTAAATGACACATATAAATTTCATACAGATCGGCAGATAACTTTATATGTTAGAGCATTCACAATGTGCAACAAAGTGAAACGTCATAACTCTAGAAGTAATGAATGGAAATGATGCTTGTTATAAATTCCATACAGATTGAATAACTTTTGTTGTTAGAGTGTTCACAAGGTTCAACAAAGTGAAACAAGGGCCATAACTCTAGAAGTAATAAATAGAAATTGCTGAAATTCAATAGGATTCATCATTTCACTAATCTAAATAATGCATATAAATTTCACAAAGATCGGATGATAACTTTTGGCGTTGGAGCGTTAACAAAGTTCAGCAAAGTGAAAAAGAGGGCCATAACTCTCGATGTAATAAATGGATAATATTGAAATTAAATAGGATTCCTCATCTCACTAATGTAAACAACATCTATCAATTTTAAAACAACTGGATGATAAATTTTGGCAATAGAGCATTCACAAGAAATTGTGGATGACAGACGGACGGGGGTGACAGAAATATACATCCACATTTCCATGTGGGCGTATACCAAGAGTGCAAATATTCTCAATAAATATAGATGATTGGTCAAACATCATTACAATTTATTTTATTTTTCAATAATTTCGAAAGATTCTATCCTTTTATGACTAGCTGATTAATCGCAGCAGGTTTGGAAAAGACAGGTTGCCAGACAACGAAGCATACACCCACTGCTGCAAATCAATCGCGAAGTTCATAAAGATTGTTACCTTAATGTTCATTTATAGATTACTTGGTATATTACAAGACACTAAAAGTAGTAAAAGGTTATCAAGATCAACAACCCATGCAGTAGTTATTAGAAATCAAAATTAAAATCAGAATTCTTCACTGCTAAAACAATAATATAACCAAAGCCAATAACACTGAAAGTAATTATTGGAAATCATTAAAATTTGAAAGGATTCTCCAGTAGCATTAATAATAAGATAATCAGGGACAATAACTTTGAAAGTAATTATTGGAAATTCTGAAATAAATACGGTACCCTTCTTCATTTCACATACATATAAACACTGACACTGTATTTCAAGTCAAACACATGGTAACAACAATGCCAGGGCATAAGCAATATATTTCAAAGCGATCAAGGGCAATAACTCAAAACGTAATTATCAGAAATAGTTGAATTGGATGATAACTTTAGTCACTGTGTTGTCTACAAAGAATTGGTCAGACAAATGGACAGGGTTAATAAGAACATATTTCATAACAAGGCAAACAGACATTATAAACCAATTCCAAATATAATCTCTAAATAAATTGGAGTGATTACAAGGTTTCAATGAAAAGGGCAATTTTTCAGTGTGATAGTGCCCTCAAGTATGTACCAAGAAAAGAAACAAAAAGCTTGTGTTAATAACTATGCTCAAATATCTTGGATATAGATTGAAAACATGAAGCTATTGTAGACCACCAAGGATGCATTAGGCTAAAGCATTACATTAAATTAAATTAATATTACATAGTCTACCAACTCAAGTTCTGCTTCATAAAATTGATCCACCATTATTCTATGATTATTTCATATTTTATAGCACTTTAGTGTTCTCAGTCATAAATTCAAAAACTGAATGATGCACATTGCTAATAATGTTTGAAATGATGCAGCTTTATTATAAATTAATGCACGTTCATATTACAGCTTCAAACAGATTAGTTTAAAAAGCATAATGAACTCTTATAAAGCATTTACATGTATCTAATAATGCTTGAAACAGGTTCCTTAAAAAGAGCATAATGCAATCTTATGATAAATTATAAATTATAATGCACTTACCTAATAATGCTTGGAATAATTTACTTTTGAAGATTCGGATCACTCGTTCTATGGCATTTTTAAGCGGTTTATCTTGTGATTTGGTTAGTCGTGTGTGATAATCCTCCAATAACTCCAATGCCCTGTGTGCATCTGAAAAAAGCAGAAGAAAAAAATATCAATTATTAAATACTGTCCATGATGGTTAAACTAAAAGCTTTTCGTGTGTCATCATTATTTTCCATTTGTAGATAATCTAATGTGACTTGAAGCAGAAGTAACAGAGAGTTGTGTAAAATATTGAATTATCAATATCAAGGTTGCGTTAACGAATCTACAACTTTCATCTTCACTGCATAAAAATTTCATGCAAAGTAAAGATAAAAATAAATACTGCTTGAATAACGGATCAGCAGGGTATGCTTATAATTACACCACCTTACAGCTGTTATATTGTAATGTTTCACAGACACGAAGTTGACAATTTCATCTGTACTTTTGTTTGTTTTTATGTACATTGCATGTACATTTACATTGGTGAAACAACATGAGATTGGGGTAGTGGGGAATAACAAACTTTATTGGTAGTAAGAAATACAGCAGTACATGTTAATGTTATGGGTGGAAAGGAATAATCAATATCGATAGTAAGAAATACAGGACTTCACTATCCGCATTAAGGAATACAGTATTATGTTCTGTATGGGTAGTAAGGAACACTGTACACATGGTTTTGGTTCAGTTCGAAAGATCACCTTACCCGAGCCTAAAAAGCTGGAACACATTTTTGAGACTGGCATGTTGAGAGAGAGAAATGTCATGTAATCCTACATGTATCTCATGGGTAGTAAGAAATACAGCACCTTTACAGGTAATGATAATTAGTATGGGTAATATTAATAAGAAGTACTTGTATGGTCTGTAAAGAATTATGAAATTGGGTTTTTAAATGTCCTACTTTTCTGCACTGACTGAGCTAATGGAGGCGGAGGCCGTAAAGAATACTGTGAACTACATGTTGGCCTATGTTGTTGGTAGCAAGAAATATAGCACTTAGTTGTGGAAAAAAACAACATTCTTATGGGTAGTAAGCAGGGCTCACACTGGCTTTCAATTTTTTTCTGCCAAAATGGATGATAATTTTAATATAAAAAAAAGTAAATGTACATATTTTTTCTGCCAACTGGAATATTTTATCTGCCAAAAATGTGTGATAAAAAAGACTATTACCGATATATACAATACATTATACAACAACTTAAAAAATCTGTCTTTACATAATACATCAGATCAGTTTTGATTTACTAAGATCAGATTTTATTTGTGGTGACTTTAGTCTATTTGAACACCATACTGCACAATATATTTTCAGTATTTACATGTCAAATCTTATCCAAGGATTGCCAATTGTCTATAAATATATGTGATGCATGTACAATAGGCCTATTGTTATTTTCGGGTACCGTAAATGTATCAGAATCCGAATCGCTGATAAAATGATATAAATTTCAATTATGTTTGTAAGAGATACCTACAATTATACTCGTCCCGACGGTAATATGATACAAATGGCGAACTGTTTTCTTGCTCAAAAATATTAAAATCGTCGCTATTCAACTTGTTCTTGCATTTCCGACCAGTGGTGATAATATAATTTGAAATAATGATATGCGATATGCATACTTGTATATAAACATGCTGTATACAGTAAACGGAATTATACAGTAAATGGAATTCAACTATCAAAATATTTAATTCTCTTCAAAAGGACCGGTCGACCAGTTTGATTACACATGTATTACCATTTTTTAAGACGAAACGAAACATCAAATAGCCTTATCACCACTTGGATTAATCATTAGAAGTAAATAACGACTTGAGGTGGGCTTTATATTATTAATCCAAGACAACTGATTAGTATTACTCGTTGACGCGATCCGGATTATCAGCCAGTTGATTAAAAATACATTATGCAAGAGCTAACTCTGATAATTGCAAGTCTTTATTTAGGCTTCAGATGTCATAGAAATTATAAATTAGATCTTTATTTACACAACAAGCACAAAATCAACTCTGTAGACCCACAGATGGCTTGGATTCGACTTGGATTTAAACAGGATTTCGTTGATTGATTAAATTTTTAAATAGCGTCGTAAGCGGAGATTAACCGTTATGTTGACGTCATACTCCCGGAAATAATTTTAGATCGAGGCTAAATGATAGATTGTACGAAGCGAGGCCGCTGTTGAGCGAGGCCGCATGTCAGTCAATTTGATTGAAAGTTCGATATATACTGCCTTGATATTATGTTTAGTTGTGGTTAAAATTAGAGTTTGGATGTCGGTATTATAGGCTACGCTCTTTTGTCCCTTGCATTTACAGAAAAATTATAGAAATTGATAAACATCGCAGCTAACATCACCCCAGTTGAATTGCAGCTCCATTGGATCACTGTTCGGCCTCGGAGTTACGCAGGCCTACCAGTTACAGTACAAGAGTACACGCAGGCTAACAAGAAGTCAGCTATAATTATGCCTCATTGATTTGGTACATTCCTTTCAAACTTTCGCTTCTTATCTATATATTAAAAGTCTTATTTTTAATTTGTAGTAAAAATAAATGTGATACGAATTGAATTGCAACCCCGTCTCAAACCACAGTCATTGAAAACATATCAACTTATCCCCTTCAACTTTTTTATTGGTGTCAAGAATCTATCACTTATACTTATAATTATCTGGCAGTAGTAGTTTGAAATAGGCATACAAAATATTTCACTTTAGCCTTTATTTAGCCTGACCACTTGACGCCATGACGTCAAAATGACGTAGACGTAGGATTAACAAGTAATAAGTAACCCGTTGTAATTTAGTCAAAAGTAGATTGATTTATGATACCATAGTGGCCGGTTCATTGTTTTACCAATGACGTAGACCGGTTAAGGGTTAACAAGTAATAATTAACTCATTGTAATTTGCTAAAAGTAGATTGATTTATGATACCATAGTGGCCGGTTCATTGTTTTGCCAATGACGTAGACCGGTTAAGGGTTAACAAGTAATAATTAACTCATTGTAATTTAGCTAAAAGTAGATTGATTTATGATACCATAGTGGCTTGTTCATTGTTTTACCAATCGGCTTGATTGAACTTCAAGCGGCTAAAGCTGACAAAAAACACCCGATTAAGATCCCTGGTGAGAAGCCATAAGGGTAGGGTGGTAATGAACTATCTACAAAGAAAGCATGATAATAAAGAGAGCTAGATTGGGCAGTGAATATGCTTGCACAAGAGGAACTGACTAAGAGACCATGATTGGTGTAGAGAAGTCATATTTGTGAAAATAACGTAAGATTATCCGGTACAAGTCAATGGAGCATTTAAAAGATAATAATAACTAGAACTGTGATGCAGTAATGACAGGTTTCACCATTGCCACTTTACCCTTGAACTTATGTCACTTCCGACGCCATGTTACCCTTGAACTTATGTCACTTCTGATACCAATGAAACCGTTCCAACAGATTTCCACATAAGCATTGTACACGTGTTATAAAATGGACGCAGAATCAACCAAATCCAGCAATATCAATTCCATTAATAATATATTTGTTACCATGTGTTACTACATATGTTGAAAAAGTGATCCTGACAAAATTTGTTACTAATTTACCGCAAATTTATCTGATGAGACTTTCTAATGGGAAATTAAAATGCGAAATTTTTTTTTAAAAAGTGACCCTTATTTCCCGGTAACGGAAGAGGTTAGAAGCAATATTTTGAAATCGTGTTAAATCATTCTATATGTTGGATGCAGTTAAATATCATAATTTTAAAGAATATTGAATAACATATATATATTTATTTTGAAGGCTAAAAATACAGTTTTAGTCAAAATGTTGTTATTTCCAGTAAAAATAAATTTTTGAAATTGTTTTTATGAAATCACAAATGGCATTAGGCATCAAATGGTGAAACTTTTATAAAAATCAAATAATAATTAACAATTTCATGAACCAAAAAACGTTAAAAGTGACTTGCTGATAATCGTCTATTTCTACGCAACTGAACGACTTAGAAACCATTTTGTGATATCTATATGATCGTACGGGTTCATTCTTTGTGATGAATGAAATTAAATATCATACTTTTAAACGCATAACAAAAAGGATTCATTTGAATAAAATATCTCTTTTGAAGTTTAAAAATACAGTTTTGGAGAATATGGTGTCACTTCAGGTGTCACTTCTGCTTAAATTGATATAATGCACATTTGCTTTAAGCATCAAATGGTGTTATTTTTATGAAGATCAAATCATAATTGACATTTTTACAGGCAAAATAATGTGAAAAGTGACTCATGCAAAATTGCTCATTTCTCAGCAACTGCTCATATTTAGTGCTGATATCAAGTAAAAATTTTACGCATCGATGCATCGGACGCAAACATCGATTCTCGTATCGATGCATCGGGAATTTGCCGGCATTTTGTTAATCAAAAATTACAGAAAAAACATTAGTATTTCTGATAGAAACATAAATTTCCCTAACATTATCAATAGGCCTATTATAGAAATGTCGATTTATTTGAATAAATTTATTTCCAAAATATTCTTCTGTTATTTATTATGACATTAGTATCGTCCGATTCACTTCAATTGACACGCGTTAGCCATTGTTCAAATTTGTTGTGAAGGCGTGAGGGGTGGGTGATTACAAGAGACAGCGTTTTCATTATTTATACGGATCGTATCAAAGCCTGTCTATAGGGGTTTATGAATTCTCTATTGCTCGTGGCAGAAAATAAGACTGAATCGTTTTAAAACTAGCGTTAAGAACCGGCCGCGAAATATTATCCTTCTGACAGTTCGTTTGGTCATTTAAATGAACCGTGAAATTGACCTTGGGGTTAAAGGACACGATAGCCAGGGGACGTAACCAGCAAACGCAGTCTTTGTAGTCACTGGAAAATGGAGACAAACATAACGGAAGCGTAGGGTAAACAGGTCAAGCCTAATAATAGTTTGTGCGGGATTCATTGAATTGTTCCGTTACATATATATTGGGTTTTTTTTAATTATAAAAACATATTGAAAAGGTGTTTCTTTTATTCTAATGGACGAACTTGTGAACTCCTCGGAGTCCTCGGAGTC